GAGCTTAAAACTTGAGCCAAAAAGTCCTTAAACAGCTAACAAGAAGACAGAACCACAAAACCATTTTTAAGCACCAAAAGGTCCAAGCTTTAAGCTTTTAAAACAACCATTATGGAGAGAACCAAAAAAAAAATCATAAAAACCAATTTTAAGCAAGGAAAATAGAACAAAAATGAAGCTTATCGACCAAAATTGAATCATTCATGATTTGGTTCTAAAACAAAAAAAAAAAAAGATTCAATACAAAGCTCCCATGGATAGCCATGTAAACTAGGAAACAAATCTTTTGAACTTTAAAACCCTTCCTTTTCATTCATGGAAAACATTTACATTTTGAAACCAAGCACCCATTTTTGACATAAAACCAAGTAAAGTAAAGAAAGAAATCCATGTTTCTTGAAGTTCCATGTATAAAGACAATTAAAATAAACAAAGATAAATAAAAGCTACCTTAGTTTTTCCTAACTCATCTCCTTTCACCTTCTTTTCTCCCCTTTTATTCCCTTTTTTTTTCTACCTTTCCCTTTTTTTTTCTTTTTTTCTCTTTTCCATCCAACATGACTGTCTTTTTGCTGCTTAAAACAAAAAAAAAAAAGAGAAGCCATTTAATGGACCTTTAATCAAAACCCATCAAATGGCACAAAGTCATTTGTTTTCTTTTATTAAACTCAGTGGGTAAGCTCACAATATGGGCCATTAGATTAGTGTCTTTTAAAATCTAATGGTCCTTATTATTCATAACATATTCACTTGGCTGTATATGTAGCAATCCCTTTAAGGCATGTGAAATGATAATTTTGCTCATATTAGTGTTTTTAAGCCTTTTGCATAATTATCTTGGAAACTATGAACCATCATTGTTTTTGTGATTTTAACACACCAAAAATCCTAAAATAATATGAAAACATGATATGAAAGTTTTCGTGAAAAACTAACCTCAAAAAGGTCAAATTATGAAAATACCTTTAAAAAGGCATTTTAGTAATTTCACACCTTTTAAGGTGCTATCATGGTTTTCAATGCACCAAAAATCATAAAATAATATAAAAATATGATTTGAAAGTTTTTGTGAAAAATCGATATCGAGAAGGTCAAATAATGAAAATATCCTTAAAGAATATTTTGATAATTTTATACTTTTTGAGGTGCAATCAAGGTGTTTAATGTCCATAAGTTATAAAATAATATGAAAATATGATCTAAAGTTTTTCAAAAAAATTTGATCTTGAAAAGATCAAATTACAAAAATAAATTTAAATGGTATTTTGGTAATTTTACACATGTCAAGGTGCGATTAAGGTTTTTAAAGCATAAAAAAATCATGAAATAACATAAAATTATGATCTGGAGTCTTTCATGAAATTCTAACATCAAAAAAGCAAAAAGTATGAAAATACCCCTAAAGGGCATTTTGATAATTTTACTATTTTCACGGTATAGTCAAGGTTTTCAACACATCAAAATTACAAGAAATATTAATTCTAAGCCTTGATAATCCCATAGGTTGTGAATTCCAAGGGTTAACCCAAATTTGACTGATTTGGATCAGTTTTGATTTTATTTGATTAAGTTTGACCACAGGGCATTTGGGTCAAATTGAACTTGAATTCAATTTAAAAAATTTATCAATGTTAGATTCGAACTGGGCCAAACTTTAAAGGCTACAAAATTGGTTAGAATTTATCTAGACAAAATTAAGTGTCTACAATTAAAGCTTGAATTGAAGTTCAATCAAGCTCAATTAAGTAAAAGAAGTAATGAAGGAAAAGGTAGAAAAATCTCCTATGCAAGGCATTTGAGCAAATGCACACTAGTTTCAGCCTAGTGAAGTTTTTTGCATAAAAATGCATCCAAAATAAGTCCAAAAGCTCTGATTTTTATCTTTTCTCATATTTTTACCAACACATTGAATATTTATGTAGTTAAGAGTATTTTTGTCAAATCTATTAATGAACAAGCAAATATTCATCATAAATTGCCCTAAAAAGATATGATAAATCACTAAAAATTTAGTATAATCATGTATCAATTGGCTAATTTAATAGAAGAATATTATCCACCATACACCTAAAGTTTGAAATCAATTTGATATTTTTATCATATCATATTGATTTGAGAATTTTTTTAATAAATATATATTTAATGACTGAAATTTTTATATTAGATAAATAGTTAAACATTTTATATTGACTCAAAATTTGACATACATTTATTTACATCAATAAAGTATGAAATATAACAATCAAATCAAGTAAATATAAAGTGTATAAAAAATTATGAAGGGTATACAATTAAAGTACTTTTTCATCGATATAAGTAGATATTTCCCCTTACATATATATACACAAACACACATATTTGTCATCTAACAATTATCCTACGATTTTAAGCCTATAAATGATTTTTGTTACATTTTTTTTATTTTATAACTTTTTTCAAAGATGTATATTACTTAATTTTGTAAATTTTCCAAATAATTTTTACTTTGGGCACAATGCTCACATCTTTTAACCATTTTGAATGGCTATGTAAAAACATAATTTTTTTTAGTAAGTATAATTTGACACGTATAATCTGCATGAATAAAATATGAAATACAATTGTCAAATTTAAAAATATAAATCATATAAAAATATATAAGTGCTTCCTCCTCGTATACATATTCATATATTTAAACTTATAAATGATATGTGCTATGTACTTTTTGTTTTTTTTTTAATTTGTAACTTTTTTCTCAAATGTACATATTATTTAATTTTATGAGTTTTTTTAATTTGTTTTGCTTTTAACTCACATCTCCTATCTTTTTCAATGGTTATGTAAAAATATATTTATCTCTTTAACAAAAAAATCTTTTCTAATCAACATGCTATAATTTATGTAATAATTAATAAATTACTTCTTAATTTTTATAATGAAATAATATCAATTAAAATATTTTTAAAATTATTTTATTACCTATTTGAATAACCAACTTTTTAATATATTCAGTTATTCCAAGATAAATGTTCATTAATATTGCTTAATTAATACATAAAATAATTTTTCTCATTAAGCAATACATAAATCATGCATTAAACTCTCAAATTCAAAATTAAAATATTTTTAATGAATTTATAATTTTTTTAACTTTTTATAAATATTTATATAATATATTATCAATGCAATCACATAATTAAATAAATAAAACTAACCAATGCATCGCACTAGTCATAAAATAAATTTAAAAATATTATTTAAAATCTAAAATAATATAAAATATATCCAAATTCACTTTAGTACGAATGATTTGAAACCATGCTAAAAGGTATTTGTTTATTATATATTAATATTAACTTACATTCTTTAGTATATTTATTAATATAATTATATAATATACATTCAAATTGCCAATAAAATAATAGTTCATATGGCATGTATGCTAGTGAAACTTTGAAACTTTTAAGTTTTTGAAGATTTGAACACGTAATTTACTTATTAGATTGATTAAATAGATAGAGTTTGGGATTAATAGTAGATTAAAAATTAAAAAAAATACATTCTAACTTACATTTTTTTCACAATTAATCACTTATATTTATTTAATATATTTATACTACACTAGATTATAAGAGTACCTTAAAGATTCTTCATGTGACATTTATCTAATGTTGTTAAATTATCATTGTAACCTTATTCATTGTTTTTGTTTTTAATTAATTTACTTTATTTTTATGTTTTATTTTATTTTACTTTTATTTAATTATTTTTTTACTTTTAAATATATTTTAATTTGTTAATTATTTAAATTTTAAATTAGGATAGATTTTGATTAGTTAAAAAATAATAATTCTTTAAATTTAAAAATATAATAAAAAATTGAAAATAAATAAAAATATTCCAATGATGAAATTTTAATAATCAAAATGGTTGATTTTCTAAGAAAATTTTATATAAGATATTTTTAAAATTTTACCCAAACTAAGGAAAATTTTAGAAAAAAAAAATTTAATAATGATAATTGATATTAATTTTTGAGCCAAAAATAAAATATATTAAAATTTTAAAAAATAAAAATTATTTCAAAGATGATAAAATTTTGAAAATAAATAAAAATTATTTCAAAGATGAAATTCATAAAAATCACGAATAATTGATTTTTTAAGAAAATTTTACATGAAAAGTTTTTTAAAATTTAACCAATGAAAAATTTTAAATAAAGCTTTAATAATGATAATTAACATTTATTTTCAGGTAATAATTAAATAGAAGTGGGAAATTGGTAAAAATAATAAAATAAATTTTAGAATTAAAATTTAGACTATTTTTTTAAAAATAATAAATTTGATAATGAGATTCTTAAAAGTTATGAATGATAATTTTTTAAGTTTTTAAGTTAGAAAATATTTTTAAATGTGATTCATATGCTAAATATTTTCATTAAATAAAATGATAAAATAATTTAGTTAACTCTCAAGTAGTGAGATATAAATATAAAATATATATATAAATAATTATCGAGTTATATATAAATCTTCAATCTAGACTTTTTTAAAGAAATAACTACTTAGTCATATATAAGTCTTTAATTTAGACTCATTTAAAAAAATATCTTTTATTTGTGTTCAACTAATTTAGTGCAAATTTGATATTTCTATTTAAATTTTTTAAAATTTTGAGTATAATTGTGGGTGATCAATCCTTAAACAAGTATAATTCAATCCAAAATCTTAAGAAGCCACTCAAAATCAAATATAAATATATATAAATTCACTTATACTAATATAATTTTTACAATTTTTTTGAATCATTTGATCAAAATTATTAAATTCAAAAACATTTTTCGATTCATAAATTTAATTTTAAATAAACCATAGATTTAATTTTGATGTAAAATTTAAAAAATATATAAAAATTATATTAGTGTAAGTAAATTTTTTCTCACGATTCTATATATATATATATATAATATATATAAAATTAAAAAAATCACTTAAATAAAATATTTTTTCCAAAGCAATTGCAAATGGTTTAAATGGACCCAAATATAAGTTTGAAGTCTGTGTGTATCTGAGTGTATCATCCGGCTAGTAATTGGAGTGTTGAAGGAGAATCGGAGCTTTGCATTTGTTTGGTGAATATGATGATGATGAGGTTTTGGAGAATCGCTTCTCTTCCGTCTTCTTCTGCCATTGATCTTCCTCAACGTTTGGAATTGAGTAACCCCAGATCTGTCAATTCTCTTCCCTTCTCTTTGATGAATTGTTGTTCTGCTTTAAATAAGGAAAGCCCTCTCTTCTCTTCTCAAAAATCTTACTTCTTGACCACCCGCTGCAAGAAATCCAAGTATGTGTTTGATAAAATTGATGATGCCTTGGCTTTGTTCGATCGCATGCTTCATACCCATCCCCGCCCTTGTATTATTGAATTTAGTAAATTATTATCAGCCATTGTTAGAATGAAGCATTATGAAATTGTTATTTCTCTGTTGAGACAAATGGAATTACTAGGAATTCATCACAATGTTTATACTCTCAACATCTTGGTTAATTGTTTTTGCCGTTTGCATCATATGGATTTTGGGTTCTCTATTTTGGGGAAAATGTTGAAACTGGGCATTGAACCTAATGGTATAACATTTTCCACTTTGATCAATGGCCTCTGCATTGGAGGTAAAGTAGCTCAAGCTGTGAGGTTGTTTGATGATGTTATCGTTCGAGAAGGGTATCAACCTAATTTAATTGCTTATAATACGATAGTGAACGGTCTTTGTAAAATAGGAGAAACTACTCGTGCTATTAGATTGCTAAGGACTATGGGAGAAAGAGGTTGCGCACCGGAGACTATAACATACAGCATCTTAATCCACGGCCTTTGTAAGGACAAGAATGTAACTGAGGCTTTGAAGCTTTTCTCTGAAATGAGAGGTAAAGGAATTCCACCTGACGTTGTCACTTATAGTTCTTTAATTCATGCCATGTGTAATTCATGTCAGTGGAAGGAAGCTACAGCATTATTCAATGAAATGGTGGCTACCAATTGCAGACCCAACGTAATCACATATAGTATTGTGGTTGATGCACTTTGTAAAGAGGGTAGGGCTTTAGAGGCTCAAGATATTTTTGAGAGAATGATTCAACAGGGTATTGAGCCTAATATAGTTACATATAATTCATTGATGGATGGATATTGTTTACGAGGTGAAATGGACGAGGCTAAAAAAGTATTCAATTCAATAACCAATAAGGGTTGCACACCTGATGTAGTTAGTTACAATATCATTATTAGTGGATATTGTAAAGCTAAAAGGATAGAGGAGGCAGTGAAACTTTTTCATGAAATGACTCGAAATGGATTAATCCCTAATGTTGTTACTTTCAACACTCTTATTAGTGGTATGTCACATATTGGGAGACTTGCAGCTGCACAAGAAATTTTCGAAGAAATGTGTGATTATGGCCTATTACCAGATGGAATCACTTACTCTTCCTTGTTGTATGGCTTATGCAAGCATGGTCATATTCATGAGGCATTGGGATTTTTTCATGCAATGCAGAGGAGTGGGTTAGAACCTGGTACTGTCCACTATAATATCTTAATTGATGGCTTGTGTCTAGTTGGCCAACTTAAAGTTGCTAGGAAATTATTTTATGCACTCACAGTCAAAGGGGTACACCCTAGTGTTTACACATATAATACAATGATCAAAGGATTTTGTAAAGAAGGGCTGCTGAATGAAGCATATGAATTGTTTAGGAAAATGGAAGTGGATGGTTGCATGCGAGATAGTTGCTCTTCTAATACCATGATCCGAGGATGTCTTCACAACAACAACATATCGCGGGCAATACAAATTCTTCATGAAATGGTTCAGAAAGGATTTTCTGCAGATGTATCCACAGTAGCCATGGTAGTGGATATATTGTCTAGTGATTCAACAGGTGAAACTTTTCGTGCATTAGTTCAGAAATTGTGAATGCTATCAAAGTGTTAATATGGAATAATCTCCTCTCAATCAACATTGCTGCAGTAAATCTAGACATGATTTATAATGTGTACCTGCTAGTAAATATTCTAAGCAGTCCCAAACTGGATAGTTCAGATTCATAAAGTTAAACCACCAAATAATGGTGGGGAGAGTTTCTGCTTCCAACTGTTGGCGGATCTTGAAATGGATATGGTAGAAGTAATTGTGCTTGAGTCTTGGAATCATAGACTTTTAGCTGTAGCAGCAAATGATATTTATTGAGGCACCTTTTCTTTCGTCCTGAATTAGTAAATTGTTATTGTTGTATTCTAATTACTTTTCATTTTGAAATAGAGTTTTAAGGATGGTGAGAATTGGAGGTGGAGAATTCCCTGTAATCAAGGAATCTGATTACCTTGTTAATGGCGAATTTTGTGTTGACAAAGATGCATCTCCTAAAATGTTGAATTGCCTCCTGTAAGTTTTTTTTTTTTTTTTAAATGTAATTTTCATTAGATCACAAATGATGGGAGGGCATTCCTCTACCCAATAACATCGCATAGGACTCCTCAAAGAAAGTGCATATTTTGCAAGTCTGTGTGCTGCTCGTGTAAACAGCTTTGAACTGGTGGAATTCATAACTGAGTAGCTCGGCATCGTTTATCAGAGAAAAGTTTTGAGCTTCTGAGTTTAGCTGATTAATAATGCTTAGTGCATCTCCCTCAATAATTACAGACTTGAATCCCATATCCTTTGTGACTACAATGGCCTTAATTGCTGCTAAAGCTCTGCAGTTATAGATCTCTGACTCGTTTTTCTGTAGTTGAGCATGTCCCTAAGACAAATCCAGTTTCATCCCTGATCACCACACCAATTCCGGATAAACCTTCCTCGGGTGCTTTCCATCTACCTACCTATCCCATAGAGTTAATTGTAATGCTTACCTTGGCTCTTTTATAGTCTTCCAGATATTTGGCAGTAAAGGCAGCTGTTTCCTCTGCTTTCCTGCTCACGTTGCTCTTACCTGCTAGGTTCCGGCTACGCCAAATCGCCAAACCAGCTACCAATCCAACTTAATACATTGGACAGCCATCCCTTTTCAGCTTCATGTTCGCACATTTCCAGGCATCATCCACGTTGACAGCATCCCAATACTTCCCTTGCTAGATTAGAGCCTGAGGCATGCATCACTGTTTCTTCCTGTTGACCTTGTTGACCACATGTTGGATACATCATTTGAGCTTCAATTTTCGATTTCCTGAGGTCGCTAAAAACAGGTAGAATTCCATTCTTTAATCTCCAACCAAACACTTTAGTTTTGTTTGGAACATCCACCCTCCATATCTTGTGTCAAAACTTGTTGTCTGCTTGTCCATCTTCCTTTTCCATTGCAATTGTAACAGCAGAATATATCTGATTCAATGATATCCCGAGCCATCCAGATGCTTCTCCATGTGAATGATGGATTTGTGCCTAAAAAAAGGAGATAGAAAACCAATGAGTTTGGTTTTTTCAACGAGGGCCTCATGTATAGGGGTGTTCATAATTTGGTTTTAATCAAATTAACAGATCAAATTGATTTTTTTAGTTGATCAATCAACCATCGAATTAATTTTAATCGACTAACAAAAATAATTTTAGAAAAATTTTGGTTTTTGGTTATTTTAGTTCGAAAATCGGATTAACCGAAATAACATAATTCAAATATAAAATGAAAAATACATAAAATAAATTACTTCATTTCATAACTTGTTAGAGTTTTTAACATTATACTTTAGTATTTGAATGTTTTATTGAATAATTTTACTTAGTTTGTTTAAATATGAGAAATTAAGAATTTAAAATATAATTTAACTTGAATGTATTTATTATTCGGTTAACCGAAAATATTAATCGAACCGATCAAATTAATGAAATTCGATCGTTTTATTTTTGAAATTCATAAATTTGGTTCGGTTAACGAAAATAAAATAAAATAATTCAGTTAATTTGATTTTAGATAATTTGATTCGAAATTAACTGATCAACGAATGAATATCCCTACTCGTGTAAATTATTTTAGGCATGTTTAATAATAAAATGTTATTATAAATAATAATTTAATTAATCTTGAAAATTATTTCAACACCCTTGAGTAAAACCCTTTATTATTACTTATAATAAAATTTTAAAAACAATTAAAAAGTTGAGCTATGTGAATTTATAAATAGGGAATGCTATAAAGCATGAAGGAAAGAAACGGACTACAATCGGATTAACCAAAAAAAAAAAAAAGAAAGTAGAAAAGAGATGTAGTAAATACTCAAATCTTAAATTAAAATGAATAAATAAATGCCCCACGAATGAAATAATTTTTTATAAATATATATTGTTACATAATAAATTGTTTTGAATTGAATGAATGTAAATCTAAACTAAAAAATTGAAAATTGACAGCTCAAATAGCATCCAAACAATAGCTAAAATCAAGAAATTGAAGATAGCTACCTTACAACCAAAATAACTACCTCCTAACTTCCAACAATAGAAAGATCTAGAAACTTCCTAAAATTTAATTCAAACAACTTTGACATTGCAAGAACAAAACATAAACAATGATCACAACATAATGCAAAAGCAAGTAATGAGGAAAATCGCAAGAAATAACAACAAAACATAAATCAAAATAGAAAAATTTTAAAATGGAATTTAATCGAACTTGGAGAAAAAAAATAAGATCTACACTTCTATAGATGAAATGAATCGGAACTGGGATAAAGTAAGCTAGATCTACAAGATTACTATCAAATTCAACAAAGAAATCAAAGAAAACAATAAAAAATTCAGCTTAATCAACTTGATCAAAAAATCAAATGCAAAAAAGAGCAAAGCAAAGTAGTTAACAAAATTTCATCTAAACAAAATTGAAAAGCATGAAATTAAAGGCAAGCAACCGAATCTAAGCAATTGAACACAGGAATTAAGAAGTATAAAGTGAAAAAAGATTGGATCAATTGCCCAGTTAGGAGAGGAGTCTTCAAGTGCTGTTATTCACTTGTTCATCAACTCTACTGCTAGATCCAACCCGAATATTTTGTGGATTTTTCTAGAATTTTGTGGATTAAGTTTAAATGTGATCTTTTCTAGATTTAAAGAAACATAATCTGAGAATGCATAGAAAAAAATTTGGATTGAAACTTATAAGATTTGAATGAGATCCAATGCAAAAACCACAACTAGCTCAATTGAAAAATCAACCAAACAGATTTGGGATCGAACAAAAATACATGAAACTGAACAAGAAATATTAAAGAACTTGAACTTTTATTGATTGAATCTTAAAGGGCATGTAAAATAAATGCAAGAAAAGTAAATTTGTTGGTAATTAAAGTGATTTTCTCCCAAACAACCCTTTAAATTAACAAGAAGGAAACTATTTGTTGAAAAAAGTAAAATGCAGAAAAATAAAAAAATTGGAAAAAATGAAAAAGTCTCCTCAAATGGCCGGTGATCCCTCCTATTTATAGGCCAAGGATGAAGTGTTCCAGCCAATAAAATTGCAGGAAAATGCCAACTAAGATGCCACATGTTATAGATTTTTCCAAGTCATCCATCTTGCTCTATAAGCTTCATTGTTTCTTTCTCTTTCTTCACTTCACTTCAGTTCAAACTTCCTTTCTTTGATCTTGTAAGCTCCAAAAGGTCAGAATTATATCCAATTATAAGCCTCCAAATTGCCAACTAAGCTGCTACCCATTTACCTCCTCTTTGAATCCAAGAAGTGGCACCAATCACACTTGATCATTACCAAGTGCATCACACGGTTGTGGTTGATCCCTTCCTCACATTTTAGGCTCCAATTGTAACAAATTTTCTTCTTCAAATTCCAGCTAAATGAGAACCATTTAATTGCCAATTTAGCCATGGAAAATTCTAGCTCCAATTGTAGCTCTACACCCACTAATGCAAGTGACACATTCTAGCTCATACAAAATTATTACAAAAGTGACAAAGCACTATGAGCTAAAATGGATATTTTCACAAAAAAATATGAAAATTAATGTCATAACGGTTTTGGGGACCATTAGATGAAAAAAATTTTAAATTAAAAATATAGAGTTGCCACCAATCTTTTTGTGTTAGACGTGAATATCACCTAAAAAGTCTATTTTTTTTAATACAACCAAAAAGGATTTTAAGGTTTATCCAAAAAATATTTTTTGTTTTCAGAAACAAAAGGGGGTTTAGAAGTATGGTTAAGTATGGAGAAGGATTAACATCTTCACAGCATTTGTTTTAAAAATTGTACCAATTAATCATGCGTTATCTTTGATTTTAGATGAAAATGGTTTCCATTTTAAATTTAATAATAATTTCCTTCACTTTTAAAAAAGAAGATCAATTTTATTAACAGTTTTTGTTTAGGAATATTGAGGAAATCTTCAGTTAAAAAAATTACTTTAAAATTCTCCAATATCTAAGCAAAATTTAAAGATAACTCTTTCTGCCTAAGATTCGCCACAATATTCCTTTAAACTGAAAATAACATCATTTAAAGATGGTAATTATTGATGACTCTTCAATATCAAGACAGAATATCAAAAATTATTTCCTTCAAAATGTTATTTTAATTTTATTTCAAAATCCGTATTTTTTTAATAACATCTTCTATAAAAAAAGGTTTTATGTGAAAAATTGATGATGCTAAATAAAAATAATTAAAAAACATGGTTATCAAAATAAACGTAACTTACAATCTAAAAATAAAGATATGCAAATATGTGTCATGCATGATAGTGAGATATGATTTTAAAATTGGGTCTTTAAATATAAAGAGACCATCTTGACACCTCAACCTCTAAGTAAAGTTTAGGTGTAATTATTTATATATAAGATCCTTTTTTAATTTTTCTTTGTTTGATGTTATTATTCTTTGTTAATGAATCCCACGAAAAATCGAATGATAATAAAATTTCTTAAGTACATCATCCTCTAGGTGGCATTCAACAACAAATTTTTCATATGAGATTTTTGTGCAAATTTCTTGAATTTTAGAATGATTTTCGATGTTTGGGTAGATTTAGGATTGAGGGCTAGGTTTAGGTTTAGGTAATTTAGGGTTTTAGGGCTTAGGTTTCAAGGTTTAGGGTTTTAGGATTTAAGGTTTCAAAGTTTGGGTTTCTCTATATTTTTTATGAATCTCTCTAAAAATTCTCAATATTTAGGTAGACTTTCGAAGTAAGCTCACTTTTCATGACTTTTCTAAGAATCAAATTTTTATTGATCTTTTGAAGAGACAATTAAAAATGAAAATACAAAATATAAATGCATTAATGTAATTAAAGATAACATATAAATGATAAGTTAGAACGCCTATGCATGTAACAAGTTATTAAACAAGCAAAAGCCACATATAAACAATGATGACCATATAATGAGCACTATGATGATGATAATGATAATGATGATAATGATGATGATGATAATATTAAAAACAACAACAACAACAACAACAACAACAATACTGAATGTGAAATAAATAACCTTAACAAACTAACATATGAGACTTGACATTACAACAAAAGTGAGCACCACAACATGCAAAGTAAGAAAGTGATGAATGAAAAGTCAAAGGGAACGGTTCCATTTATTTCAAGACAACCGAAAATCACATTTTATGGCTTTCAACACTTTGTTGCCTTTTAAACATTCCCATCCTCCTATTTCTAAAGCCATTTGAATTTTACAATGAAAGGTTGCTTTTTTCTTCATTAAACACCCATTAAAGATAGATAACAGCCTTGAATTTCAAAGAAATAGCTCCCCAATGCTAGAATCGAAACTCCTATAAAAGCTATAAAAGACTTCTTTGTTTGTCATGCTTTGAAAAGCTCCTACATTTTACTATAAAAACTTCAATCTTTACCATAAAACTAAAATTAAGAGCTTAAAACTTGACCCAAAACATCCTTAAATAGCCAGCAAGAAGACAAAATTAAAAACCCATTTTTTGAGCACTAAAAGGTCCAAGCTTTAACTTTTCGAAACAACCATTGTGGATAGAACCAAAAAAATTCATAAAAACTAGGTTTTAAGCAAGGAAAACAAAACAAAAATAAAGCTTTTTTAACATAATTGAATCATTCATGAAATTTTGTTCTAGAACAAAAAAAAAAAATGGAAAGAAGATTCAAGATAAAGCTCCTATGGATAGCCATG